GAGAGAGAGAGAGAGAGAGAGAGAGAGAGAGAGAGAGAGAGAGAAAGAGAAAGAGTAGGTGGAGTCAAGGAGATGCCATGTAGCTGCCAAAGGAGAAAGACACCAGAAAACCTTATCTGTAGGCCACAGCCTTGTGACAATATACAGATTAATAGAAATGGGTTAATTTAAGCTGTAAGAGCTAGCCAGGAATACACCTAAACTATTGGCCAGACAGTGTTGTAATTAACATAGTTTCTGTGGGATTATTTGAGTCTAGGCAGTTGAGAAATAAAGTGCAGTCTCTATCTACAGGTGGGTCCAAGCCATCTACACTGTGTGTAGAGATATCTGAATTCTCATATCCCAGCATGAACGGTTCCTGATGAAGTGCAAGGCAAGCTGTAGCCTTGAATCCAAAGATGAGGTTTCTGACGTCTTGTTTTTACCCCTTTTTTCAGAGTTCCCTGTTTTGAAATGCTGGGGTCAGTCAGAAGTAGCAGCTCCTTGTGCTTTGAACAGTGAGGAGATGTGCCGGTGGAAGAACATGCAGTATAAATCAGTAAGAAGCTTTCTGCTGCTTTTAAATAACTGTCTCACTTCAGTCTCTGCTGTGTTGAAAGGTTAGTGTGCTGTATTCTCATACAGAGCACCTGTGTTGTTTTGAGATTCTTTGTTACTGATGATCACAGTGAGTACAGTCAGTGTCATTTGAATTGGGAGCTGGTGGGGAGTGAGTCCCATGCCTCCTTAGTTCAGAGTATATGTGTTACTTGGATACTTTGTAAAGGTGTAAAGAAAACCTGCAGATGCATTCATTTTTCCTTCAGCAGGAAGGCCATCCTACATAGTGATTCGCAGCCAGTCTATGCTGTGTGAAACCCTGCTTCAAACTAAAATAACAAAACCATAAAGGAATATACCATTTTTTAGGAAAGGAGGACCCAGAATGTAGGTTAGTGGAAGAGTGCTTGCCTATCAAGTGGAAGACCTTGGGTTCGAACCCCAACATAGAAAAATTAAAAATTTAAGTGAAAGTATGATATAATATGTGTGTATTCCCAGTACTCAGGAGGTTAAAGCATAAGGAATATGAGCCCCAGGCCAGCCTTGATGACATAGGGAATTTGAGGTTAGATCCTTCTCTCTTTCTCTCTTTTTAATTTTCCTTGTTATTTATTATTAGTGGTGTGTGTGTATGTGTATATGTAGAGGTCAGAGTACACTTTTAGGAGTTAGTTTTCTCCTCCTATCCAGTCTTTCTTTTCTTTTCTTTTTCTTTCTTTCTTTCTTTCTTTCTTTCTTTCTTTTTTTTTTTTTGTCCTTGGACAGGGTTTCTCTGTGTAGCCTTGGCTGTCCTGGAACTTGCTCCATAGACCAGGCTGGCCTTGAACTCAGATCCTCATGCCTCTGCCTCCTAAGTGTTGGTTAAAGTCTTGGCATAGCCACCACTGCACAACAAGGGTTCCTTTCACTGTGGGTTTGGGAAATCAGACCTAAGACATCAGACTTGGATAGCAAGTGAGTGCTTTTGCCCACTGAACTATCTTGTCAGCCCAAGACCCTGTCTCTTAAGAAAAGGTAGTTAGAATTAATACAAACTTTTGAGTTAGAGAATCAAAGAAACGGTGCGGTCACCATAAGATGTACATTTAAGTGACTCTAATTTTTCTTTTTCTGGTTTTTTGAGACAGGTTTTCTCTGTGTACCCTGGCTGTCCTGGAATTTGTTCTATAGATCAGGCTAGCTTCAAATTCAAGAGATCTGCCTGTCTTTGCCTCCTAAGTTTTGGGATTAAAGACATGGGTCGCCACACCTGGCTAAGAAAAGAAAACTTTTAAGAATAAAAAAATAGTCTTTTAAAAAAGAAAACAAAGATGGGTGGTGGTGGAGCAAGCCTTTAATCCCAGCACTTAGGAGACAGAGACAGGCAGATCTCTTGAGTTTGAAGCCAGCCTGGTCTGCAGAGCCAGTTCTAGGATAGCTAGGGCTGTTATACAGAGAAACCCTGTCTTGAAAGGCAAAAAAAAACTAAACAAAACAAAAACTTTATGCAGTGTATATTGATAATATCTATCAACCATTACTCCTCCTAGTGCCACACACCCTCCCACGTTCATGTCCTCTTTTTAAAAACTATGTATAACCTAATGAACCTGGTCAGTGCTGTCCACGTACACATGGGTGTGTGGCCATCCACAGGGGCATGAGCAGCCTGCCAGTGACATGTCCCCAAAGGAGACTAACTCTTCCTCCCTTAGCAGCCATCAACTGCTGTAGCTCCTCCACTAGCTGTGGAGCCTCAGAGGCCCCCAACCGAGCTGGAGTTTTGATTGACTTGATCTTACACATGTCTTGTGCATGTAACTCCAGCTTCTGTGAGCCCATACAGACAACAGCCATGTCATGTCCAGAACTATGCATTTCACAGCGGCCTTCCATACCTTCTGGCTCTTCCATTCTTTCTGCCCCTCTTGTGAGAAGTTCTAGCCTTGGTTGGGAGGAGCGTGATGTAGATGAGCACCTAGAGTTATTCAACGCCTCTGATTTTCTCTTTCCCTCTCCCCACAGATCCGTAAGAATGTGACCCTCCAAGTTCCAGTGGGACTGACGATCCACACCTCTTTGGTGTGCTCTGTGACTCTGCTCATCACCATCTTGTGCTCTTCTTTGATCCTTGTAGCTGTTTTCAAATACGGCCACTTTTCCCTGTGAGTTTTAGACAGGTAGATGTTTTCTATGAACCTAATAAACGGGACCGATTCACTTGTGACAAGGCGTGTTAACTGGCTATTTTGTCTTCCTTATGGTTAAAATTTCATTTCCAGGCAGAGCTCTGTCAGTTCATGGCTAGCCTGGTCTACATTGTAAGAACCTGTCCAATAAAACAAACAACAAAAAATTATGTTTCCCAGAGGAAATTTTGGGTCATTGCCAGCTAAATTTAGTGTTCTGTTCTATAACCCTCAAATAGTATTGGGTAGTCTGGTAGAAGACGCTTCTTTGTGTTAGATTAATACTTAAAAGTGTTGTCTTCATCTGGTATAGAATGAGTAGAATGAGTTCTTTGTTAAATTATTTACTTGCATTTTATGTGCATTGGTGTTTTGTCTATGTGTATGTCTGTGTGAGGTGTTGGTTCCATAGGAACAGAAGTGCAGACAATTGCTAACAGATATCTGGGTGCTGGGAACGAACCTGGGTCCTCAGGAAGAGCAGACAGTGCAATTAACCCCCGAGCCATCTCTCCTAAGGGTATGTTTTACAAGCATTAACTGTGGGATTAATAATGTGACATTGAAATAGGATTAGCTTTTCTTTTTTCCTTTTTTATTTTTTGGAGTGGGGATATGACATTTATTGAATTTATCTGCTAGAGTGGAAATAATGTCTATAAACATCCAAATGTTTGTTACTATACTTCTACAACACAATTAAAATCCAAATGGTTTTTGCCAGATAGTGGTGACACATTCCTTTAGTCTCAGCACTCCAGAGGCAGAGAGGAGGGTGAATCTCTGTGAGTTCGAGGATAGCCAGGACTACACAAAGAAACTCTTGACTGGGGGAGAAAAATCCTAGTGGTTTTTAAAAAGTAAATTCAATCAAAACTCATTACTTCAGAATTGATAGTTTCTTTAAGGTCACAGTAATACTTAACTAGGATTTAAGAATTGAATGCCGAGGGGCTGGAGAGATGGCTCAGTGTTTAAGAGCATTGCCTGCTCTTCCAAAGGTCCTGAGTTCAATTCCCAGCAACCACATGGTGGCTCACAACCATCTGTAAAGAGGTCTGGCACCCTCTTCTGGCCTTCAGGCATACAGACAGAATATTGTATACATAATAAATAAATAAATATTTAAAAAAAAAAAGAATTGAATGCTGAAATTTGGTTAGTTGGTTGGAAAACTAAACTTCCAGCTTGCTCAAATGGAATCACAGTGTCTTCAGAGAGGCAGAGTCCACTAGATTCACTAACGTTGGATAACTCTCAGGAAGTTTTAGAGCCAGGCATAGTGGCTTGTGCCTCTAATTCCAGCACTTGGGAGGCAAAGGCATGTGAATCTCTGTGAATTCAAAGCCTGCCTGGTCTACATAATGAATTCCAATACAACCAGAGTTTTGTATATTTGTTTAGTGTGTTTGTGTTTAGTGAGACCCTGTTTTGTTATGTTGTATATTTGTGTTTAGGGAGACCCTGTCCCCCCAAAACAAAAAACTAACAAAAAATAGGCTATTTAGAGTGGGAAGGGTATTGGGGTTGAATACTCACACCTGTAATCTCAGCACTTCATAGTAGAGGAAGATAATCAGGCTTTGAAAGCTAGCCTGCACTACATAGCCAATTCAAGGTCAGGCTGGACTATGTGAAGAGCAGCCAGTGCTCTTAAACCACTGAGCCATCTCTCCAACTCCCCAGGAGGAAGATTTAGAAATAAAAACAAAGCAGAGAAAAAACTAGTCAGATAAACACCTAGATCATACTACTTACTCCTTTATCCTATGGAGTGTCAAACTGCATTTTAAAAGTTTCTTTTTTATTTTATTTATGTGCCTGAGTGTTTGCCTGCATGAATGTATGTGTACTGCATATCTTTGGTACCCGTGGAGGCCGCATGAAAGCATTAGACCACCTGGAACTGGAGTTACAGATGGTTGTGAGTTGCCACATGGCTGCTGGGAAACGAACAGGTTCTCTGGAAGATCAGCCAGTCTTAATTGCTGAGCTGTCTCTCCATCCTTTCTAAAACCTTTATTTAATAAATTCCACCTTTGCTTAAGTGTGGACATACATGTGTATGTGTGTGTGTGTGTTTTGTGGGAGATCCTTCTATGTTTTACTTTTATTGATTAATGAATAAAGAAGCTTCTTTGGCCTGTGGTAGGGCATAGTAGACCTAGGTGGGAAACCTAAACTGAATGCTGGGAGAAAGAAGGTGGAGTCAATGAGAAGCATGTAGCCGCCAGAGGAGAAAGATGCAAGCCACCAACTGGAACCTTGCTTGGTAGGCTACGAGTCTTATGGTAAAATAGAAAATAATAGAAATGGGTTAATGTAAGATGTAAGAGCTTGCTAGGAATACACTAGAATCATTGGCCAAGCAATGTTGTAAATAATACAGTTTTCTGAGTGATTATTTCGAGTCTGGGCAGCTGGGAATGAATGAGCGGCCTCTACCAACATGTGTGCATTTAAGAGAAGTATTTGTTTTCAGTTGAAGCAAATTTCATTAGTCTGTAAGTGTAAAGTTAATATTTAAGATTGTGTCCTATTACATAATCCAGTTTTGTAGTCATTTAGATGGATGTCAAGAAGCACATGAAAACTATGGGAATGAAAAAAAAATAAATTAAAAAAAAAAGAAAGTAAGCAATAAAGTGTGGAGAAAAATGTATAGCTCATTCAAAACAAAAAAAAGAGAAAACTATGGGAATGACACAACACAAACATTGACATGACTCACTGCCTAATTTTGATACAAGCACATGTCTGTGTTTGGCTTCCTCATATTATCTTCCTTTGATAGACATGAGTAGGTGTTTATGTTTTCAGTCAGTTTTGTAACTCCGTGTGTGGTCCTTTTTGTTTCAGGCCAAGAAAAGGGATACTGCTGTCTTGTTCATTATGTCCCAGTGTTTGTTCCACTTTTATAACTTATCTGTCTTAGAGATTGGTGTTAGGCTCTTTTGGATGCAGAGAACAGAAAACAACTCAACTAGGGTGGTGCTAGGCCTGTGTATTATTACACATCCTAGTCGTTCAGCTAATTGTTTTGGAGAATGCTACATGCTTTAGGAATTAGAATGACCCTTTGCAGCCCTAATGACTTGGAATATAATTTAAGGACTGTTCTAGGGAAGCTACTTATTTTGATAATCCATGTTCAGTGCTAATTATATGGAAATGGAATCAGAGTAAAGTGACGAACGTCTGTCTCTCAGACATGCATCCTGTGTTGCCAGCAGGCGGCTGAATGCAGGCTTGGGTAGACTACAAGAGAGTAAAGTGGTGTGCACTGAGTATGCCGTCAGAATCGGCCTAAGCAGTGAGCGTATAGTTACTCATTTATTGTTCCTTTACCTTAGCTCCCCTCCTCCCCCCCGCTCGGGTGTCATATAGCTTATCTGGTCTCCCACTCACTATGTAACCCTTGAACTCCTTATCTTCTGCCTCCCAAGTGCTGGGATTTCCAGCTGGCACCACTATGCCTGGCATGAATTACATCTTTTCTCCATCTCTGTTGGTAATGTTTCTGTCTTAGTTTGATGATTCAGCTACATGTACATTTCTAAGTTAAGTTATTTCTCTCAGTACTTTCGGGCATTTCTTCCATGACAGACTGTCACCCATGGTTGCTTTGGACAGGGTCGCTTGTTACAGCCCAGGCTGACTCAGATTCACAGGTGTGACGCACTATGTCCAGCTAAGAAATCTGGTGTGAGTTCAGTAGTTGCTCATCTGTGGAGAACTGTCTTTGTTCAATTTTTCCCCTGGTTGCTGTATCTTTGGTATTCTGCAGCTCCACCGCTATCTCCTAAGCAGCTATCAAAACCCTAGAGATTTCCAAGGAAAGTTGGTATCTTTTAATCCCAGCAGACGTGGCTTCATTCTCTCTGCTTTTCTCCTTTTTGGGGCTGAGCCTGCGCCTTGGAGAGCTACCAGAGAGAGGCATTCTTCGCTAGTGACAACTCACTGTGTTTGTTTCTACAAGGATATCACTTCATTATTTTATTTTTTGGGAGGGGGCGGGGGTGCAGGTGTGGAAGTCAGAGTTCTCTCCTCCTACCCTGTGGGTCCTGGGGATCAAACTCAGGTGGAGTCTTGGAGGCAAGTACCTTTACCTGCTGAGCTATCCAGCTGCCCCCCTTTCTTTTTTCTTTTCTTTTTCCTTTTAGCTAAGTCTTTATGTGTGATCCAGACTAGTCTTGAACATTCCTGCCTCAGCCTCCCAAATGCTGATTGGCATGCACCATCGAATCTGACAGTCTCATGAGCTTAAAGGGTAAACCAGTACGTAACATTACTTCTCTGCTTAAAATTGTTTAATGGCTTCTGGAAGTAAAGGACACATTTCTTACTGTATCAGTCCTGTCTGCTGTGAAGTTTGTTTGGCTATTTTGTTTGTTTTTTGAGATGGGGTCTTGTACTCAAGCTCCTCCTCTTTCCTCAGCCACCCAAGTGCTGGGATTGCCGCTTTGCTCCGTTGTATCTGTTGTGCTCTAGGATTTCCTCATAAACCGTTTTGCACCAGACTGCAACTACACAGGTCTCCTTTCGTTCTTGTGAGCCTAACCTGCAGTGGCCAAGTCATCTCTCCACCCCTACGTGGAGCTGAGGACTGAGCCTAGGGCCTTGCGCTTGAGCTTGTGCTCTACCTCTGGGCCATGTGGGTGTTCTTAACTGACAGGCATTCCTTTTCCTTCCTGCCTGTAATCCTTTCCTCTGGGTGTTTCTGGCTTTCTCTTTCTGTTTTCACTTTAAATATCACCTTCTCTGTCCAAAGTAATCTCCGTCAATTTTTTCCTTGTAACAGATATAAATGCTTTATTTTGTTTTCATTATTTATGTTTTACAAAGACTAGGTAAAACATGTCCATCCCTGAATCCGTCGTACCTAAAGGTGTCCTTTATATGCATTATACACTGACATAATTGTAGAGTAAGAATACATAAATTAGATCTGGCAGTGGTGGCACACGCTCTTAATCCTAGCACTCAGGAGGCAGAGTCAAGCGGATCATTCCAGGAGAAGCTCCACAGCTACAGAGAGTTTCGGTCTCGAAAAACAAAACAAAACAAAAAGTTACATAAATTAACTCCTCCGTTGATAAAATACAAAGGTATTTGTTTGCAAAGAGGGAGGACCTAATTTAGCAGCATTATCTGGTCTAATTTGTAGGTTTATAAAAAAGCAAAGTGGTAAATGGATAAATGCTCAGAAACAAAGATCCTGTATACGCAAACATATAGGGATCAGATGTTCTCCGTCAGCATCTTCAGACAATGCTGAATTAAATGAGGGACAATTTTTCTCTAATCCCAGAACGACATCCCCGCCCACCCTCCCGTCAGCAGACGACTGGACTACGGTTCCCAGCAGCCCTTTGCGAGCCCGCCCCTCGGGAGTGACGCCACCGGCGAGGGCGGGTCTGTGCTCCGGCCCCGCCCCTCGCCCCGCCGACGCCCTCCCCCAGGGTTGTGGCCACGCGCAGCGGCAGCGGTTGTTCCGCTTCCCCTCCGGCCCGGGCCGTCGCCATTGCCGAAGGCTCCTGCCCTCCCCTCCCTGGCCCAAGGGGCTCCGCGCCTCACGGCCTCGGTAGCGACGGCCGCGCCCCGAGCCGCTCCCCTCTGCCCTGCCCTCCTCCCTCTCTGCCGCCCAGCTCTGCGCTCGCCCGCGTCGTCCCGGCAGCCCGCCCCGGGTCGGGTGGAGACCTTCCCTCTCTGGTAAGTGCGGACGCTCTCGCCCGGGCCGGGCCGCCGCCCTCCTCCCGCCTCCGCGGCCTGGGCCCAGCGGCCCGGGACACACGCACCTGCGAGCGGGCCCTCGGTTCCGGGCGGTGGCTCATTGTCTGCTCCCGGACTCTCAGCCTCGGCCGAGAGGAAGCTCGCGGGGCTGCGCGTACCTGGCTGTACCCGGCCGTCCTCGCCCTGCTCTACCGCGGCGCTGCACGGGACGGCTCGGGTTTGTTCCAGGATGTTCCCTCCTTTATCAGCTGCGTTCGCGGCAGCCTTGTGGCTCCGGATTCCTGTCGCGAGCCCCTTAGGTTCCGTCTGTGAGCTCTTCCTCATTCTCCACCTCAGGAGAAAGTTTTGCAGGGCTCCGGGAGCCTCCGCTTAAGAACAGAATTTAAGGATCTTCTCATAGTTTTTGCTTGATCTTCAGCCAGGAGGTGAATGTTTGCTTCTTAAGGTTAACTTGGGTTGAGGTTGGCTTTTCACCATGTTTGGCTGTCTGGAAACACGCGCGCCCTCACTCACAAATACGTTGCCGCAAATAACTTAGTGGGCTCAACCTTTCGTTTTAGAGATCAGTCATCCAAGACAGAAGTGTATAAAACAGTTGCCATTGTGGCTTGATGGAAGGTTCTCCTCATCCTTTATCTTAATTTTACTAGGGCTAGGTAGAGTGGGAGAGATTTGTTTCCTCTTTGATAAATAACCAACTCCTATTTGAGGCCAGGTTCTTCTTTACAAGTGACCTATAAGTTTTCTATCTTTTAATTTCTAACCTTTAAAAAAATGACAACCAGACCGGTTAGGCCCGAACCTAGACTACCCACGACGAACTGTGTTTTGGATGAAGGTTGTGCGCGTCATGTTTTCCCCCCCGCTGTGTTTGACTCTTCCGCTCTTATAAGTAGGCAGGATATTGAAATAAATACACAAGAATTTGCTCTGGAGATTTTTTTTTGGTAGAGTTATCCAAAAGAATAGCATGAATAAAGTTAGGTTGGGATGAAGGCAGTGAAGTGTAATTTTTAAAGCAGGTTAGGGCATGTCAACTTTGTCAGAAGCCCTGTGGCATTTGTAGAACATTCTTGCCCAGCTCTTCAGAGTGTGTGTGTGTGTGTGTGTGTGTGTGTGTGTGTGTGTGTGTGAGAGAGAGAGAGAGAGAGAGAGAGAGAGAGAGAGAGAGAGAGAGAGAGAGAGAGAATTGCTTTTACGCCCATCCTCTGCCTTTTTTCTAGACGGCATTCCTGCTCAGGCTGGCCTGACACTTCTAGGAGTCTCGGCCGTATGATACTTGGCAGCCCCTGCTTTTAAATCTTTCTAGAGATTAATTAGCCAGGAACACTATTGTACATTTACGTCATGGAAACTGAACTTCATGTTGCTTAAGTAGGTAGGTAGATAGGTACTGAATCTCATGTTGTTGCTTAGGTAGATACTCATTTTAAAGTAACTTTTGGATTTTGGTAAAGAGGTTGACCTGATTCAGAGTGTTTTGTTGTTTTCCCTAAACAGTCTATCATTACTTTTCCCTCTGCTGGGCTGTGGGGACACGGCCCAGTACTTAAGTCCTGTCATTCTTTGGTACTGTCAGTTGTTCTTAAGCTAATGACACGTCCTGCCGTGAGAGGTTTAGATGTAGAAATGCCAGGGGATGAAAAAGTACCTTGAGGTCACCTTCTGCTATTTCTTTTCTTTCTCTCTCTCTCTCTCTCTCTCTCTCTCTCTCTCTCTCTCTTTCTTTTTAACCCCTTATACTGCATTGAACCAAAGCCCTCCCTCTGATGCTAGGTAACCACTCTATCGCTGAGCTCTAACCCAGCCCTCTAACTTTTGAAACACTTAGTTTTCCAGGCTGGTCTTGAACTGGTGTTCTTCCTGTCTCAGCCTTCCTAGCATCTGGGATTGTAAACCTGCACCAGAAGAATGACTCATTTCTTTGCAGAAGCAGGTGTCTGTTTAATTTTCTTTTGAGACTGGCTCTTTTCATGATACCCTGACTTGTTTCAAACTCCTGGACTCAAAAGATTGTCTTGTATCAGGCTCCTGGTAACTGAGATCACAGGTATGCGTACCATTGTGGTGAGCAAGCAGACACTTAAAAAAAATAAATTCTTGGGTATTTCACTTCTTTTGGGGCCATGATTCCAAGTTTACCCCCAGAGAGAAAGATTAATTCTTGTAGATTTTGTGTTATATGATTCCAACACTGCAAATGTAAATTCATGAAGTATAGTTTTTAGTTGATGTATGTCTGCTAAAGGAGTGGGAGTTCTTGTGTTTCTTTGATCTTTATGATAGGCGGGTTTCCAAGTAGACACGATGAGGGTAGTTTATATTTCAGTTCAATTACATGTTTTAAGTGAAGGAACTTAGAACTTGTTCTGGTTAGCTAAAGATAAACTTTGAATTATACTTTCACAGAAGTCAAGAGCTTTTATAAGAAGTCAAGTATAAAACAAGTAGGTATGGTTGAATCCCTACTATCTTTGTCATTAATGATTATTACAGTAGTAATATTCAATATACATTTCCTTTGGCTTTCTGAGTTTTGTTTTTGGGTTAAATTGGACTTTGGTTCAAATCTTGAGACTAAATCAGGTCTTTTCCCGTTTTGAGTGCTTCTATTACAGAATTAGCTGATTCTTATTTAATGAGAGGAAGGTTGTTGTTTGTAAATTGTGCTTCTGAGTTCTTGAATCTTTTATGTTCAATGTTTTGTCTGCTTGCATGTCTGTGAGTATGTCAGAAGTCCTGGAACTCTAGTCACAGATGAGCTGCCATGTAAGTGCTGGGAATTGAACCTGGGTCTTCTGGAAGAGCAGTCAGTACTCTTACCTGAGTCATCTCTCCAGCCCTTCCTTTTTATCTTTTTAAGGAATTGTTCTTTGTGTATGTGTGTTTTTGCCTTCATGTGTATATGCAACATGTGGGTGCCCATGAAGGCCAATATAGAGCGTCTGATCCCTGGAACTGGAATTACAGAGAGTTGTGAGCTGCCATATGGGTGATAATTGAACACTAGTCTTCTGGAAGGGCACTCAGTGGTTTTAACTGCTGAGCCATCTCTCCAGTCCCCCATGGCTAACAGTTTGTTTAATAAGAAGTTAGAAGTAAGCATCTGTTCAGGGTGTGTATTTTTTAGTTGATTTAAATTCTTTTGTTTAGTGCTTCTTGGACAGAGTTTCCAAGTATAGTCTGATTGGCCTTGAACTCATGGTGGTTCTCTTTCTGAGCTTGGATTATAGGTTGAGTACCACGACCTATTTACCTTGATTTTTAAAGTGGGGGTGGGACCCTTGTGTGTTGATTTCCATATCAATACATACAGTGGTACCTTGTCTCTTTAACAGTTATGAGTTACCCCGTTATATGGTACTCTGTCTGCTCATTATGGTTTTCTGGTGGAGCGGGGAGAGCCTTAATGACTGTCCCTGTTGTGTATTTTCACACAATTCCCAGCAACCACGCGGTGGCTCACAACCATCTGTAATGAGATCTGGTGCCCTCTTCTGACCAGCCAGGGAATGTGTAGGCAGAACACTGTATACATAATAAACCTTTTTTTAAAAAAACTTTCGTCAATGTATGTTTTCTCATCTATATTTCTTTATCTAATGGGTATTCATTTTGCCTGTATTGTAAAATCTTGCCTATTACACTTTTTACTAAATAAAATCTATTTTATTTTGAACTTTTAGTTGTAATTATTTATATGTGTACATGTATATATGTATTTATATGTGGTTTGAATGAAAGTGCCCCTCATGTTTGAATGCTTTTTTTTATTTCAATGACAAATGTATAATAACATGTTGAAGAAACATACACAATCATTTCCTATACAATCAAAATTATTTGTGCTGGCCTGGCATGGTGGTACAGGTCTTTAATCCTGGCACTTGGGAGGCAGAAGCAGTCCTGGTCTACACAGTGAGTTCCTGTGTAGTCAGGGGTACATAGAGTGGCCCTGTCTCAAAAATTATAAAGCAAACCAAAAGAATTGTCTGTTCTTTCTATTCATTCCTCTTGAGCTCAAGCCTTTGGGTGAGCTCGGGCCCTCGGACTATTGAGTCATGTCTTGGTTCTGTCTGCCGTATGTTCCAGGTGATCCTCCTGTCTCTGCTTCCTGGCTCACTGTAGCAGCATGCCACACACAGCGTATAGCTCTTGTGATTCTGGGGTCAAACTCAGGTCATCAAGTTTCCATGGCAAGTGCGTGCTTTTACATATTGAGGTATCTTCTCAGCTCAGGTCTTGTTTTCAGTTTTTTCATTGTGGTATAAAGTATACCTAAGAATGCTTGCCATCTTAACTGTTTCTAAATTTACAGTGCCATGGCATTGCATTTCTTCACTGTGCTGCACGGCAGCACTACCACCCGGCTCTGTAGCTCTTTTCATCTTACAAAACTAAAAGTCTGTGCCTACTAATGAGTAATTCCTTGTTTTACTTCCAGTCTCCATGATTCTGACTACTTGTATAAGTTAATTGTACCTTTGTCTTATTTCACCTAGCCTAATATGCTCAGTGATCATCCATGTTGTGGCATGTGTTAGTGTACCCTTCCTTTTATGGTTGAATACTTCGTTCTGTGTATTATCATAATTTGCTTACCCAAAAGAGTCAAAGAACACTTGAATGATGCTATATAGATATCAATATAGACAGACAGGTATTTCTTCAAGAATGTCATTTTCTCCAAGACAAACTGCTGGCTTGTTTGGCAACTACTTTTACTTTTTTAAAATTCATTTTTATTTTATGTGCGGTGGTGTTTTGCATACATATATGTCTCTTGTGAAGGCGTAAGATCCCCTGGAACTGGAGCCACAGACAGTTGTTAGATGCCATGTGGGTGCTGGGAATTGAACCTGGGTCCTCTGGAAGAACAGTCAGTGCTCTTAACTGTTGAGCCACCTCTCAAGTTCTACTTTAAATTTTTTGAGGAGTCACTAAACTTTTCCATGGTGGCTGTATTGTTTGACTGTTTA